TATATATAAAAAGAAAAAAAAAAAAAAAAGAAAAGCATCTGCCAAAATACGAAGCACACGCCCGTTATATGCCCGCCAACTAACGACCTTTCGTTTTCTTCTTCATGTGACTTGCAGACATATCCATCCCGTGTATGACTATGCCGAAGAACTTTCAAAGGAATTGCAACTACCCGATGATACCGTTGATCAAGGATCTGGCCAGCTTTTGGATGGCGAAGCGGGTCGAGTTTCCGTATCGTTGCGAGACTTGTGGCAAGGGTTACCAACATCGCGCCACACTCGTCAGACACACCAGGCACGAGTGCGGCAAGGAGCCGCAGTTCAAGTGTCCCTATTGCGCTCATAGAACCAAGCAACGTGGAAATCTCTATCAGCACATACGAACGAATCATCCTGGCAAAAACGTGTTCTCGAGTAATGTCTAAAAGACGACCCAAGGAGACACGATTCTTTTTTTTTTCCTTTGTCCCCTTTTTCTTTCTCTCCTTCTTTTCTCCTTTATTCGAACAAATAATAATTTGAAGGTTAAAATTATTAGAAGAAAATCGTGAGATGATATATTTCGCAATGATGATGAACGCTGCGTTGAGAACGATCGATACGATTTTAATTTCGTCATTTCTCGAAATAGCGTTCATGAGTGTGAAAAAAAAAAAAAATAATAATGGAGAGTTCTATTTTCTCGAACAAGACATTCGCATCTTTAAAATCTTCGTATAGTTTCGCGAAGAAGGCGTGCTGCTCGCGCCATCTAACGTGTTTTTTCTCAAGCGTTTGTTTTGTTCGACGAATATAACCTAAGTAAAAGCATAAAGATTAGAATTGATCTCGTATCTTAAACGGAATTGTACGAATCGAATTGTAAATTGTTAGGATAGAGACCGATTAGCGATCATGTTTCAGATAAAATAGAATTATTCTTTTGCTTTCGATCGAGAAATTAAATGATCCGCCATCGTTACCGTGCAACTGTACTGTTGTTGTGTACCGCCTAAATATCGTGATCCTGTATAAAGCAATGTGCCAAACGAATATAACGAAGAATAAAGTGTGAAACGATGTTTGTAAAACGAATACGTTCTGTTCACAACACAAGAGACTACATTGCAGTTCATATCATTTCTATCGTGAATCCTTGAACATTTCATCCGTTCGACGACGTGAAAATACGCGTTTCATCCCTAGAGTGAATTATTCGTGAAAATAAAATACGATTCTTTTTTTTTTTTTTTCCAGACCTGTACTGGACCGGATATCGTTACCAACCGAGAATCATTGGCCAACGCAGAGTTCGAAGATCGAACAGTTTAGACAAGAAGCCAGGTTGCTTCAGATGCCCGAGTTGCAACAAAGGTTATCGTTGGCTAAGAAACATGAAGAATCACTTGAGAAACGAGTGCGGCAAAGATCCGACCGAATTTTGCCCATACTGCCCCCACAGAACCAAATATAAGAGCAGCTTACAGAAACACATCCTTCGAATACACCTCGCGCACAACGTGTGACACGTTGAACATTTTCGAATTTCTCTATTTACATTACACGGTTGACAATATCAATCGCGATTGTTCGCTCGCAATCTTTCGAACGTTATTTCGAAAAAAAATTTTTTTTTTTGTGTAACCAATAAATTTTTGCCAGATTCTAGAAAGTATTACATTCGTTTTACACGCGTGTTTTATTCTGACGATATCGAAAAATCATTAATTATGGTAACCGCAGTGCAGCTGCTTCGTTTGTTTACATACAGGATTCCTGCGATATGGATATAGGTATGTTTACACCAATAGCGACATTACACGCTCTAGCGGGCATGGAGAAAAACAAGGACAAGGAGGACTGATCTTAAAAGTATCCGGTTTCACGAAATTCGTTCAAAACAAATACACTGACTAGGATTTTTGTTTCAGGTAACAGGCACACTTGCGAGTGGTGCGGCCGACCGTTCTCCTGGCCATCCAGTTTAAGGCTCCACCAAAGAATGGCGTGCGGGAAACCACCAAACTTCTGTTGCACCATCTGCGATTACAAATCGAACTTTAAGGGAAATTTGAAGAGGCATTTATTTTGTAAACATAGGATACAGATGCAATAGCTTATCGTCCATTGTTTTATAATAAAATACATTTTTATATATAAGAAAGAAACCTAACCCCTAAAAGTGACAACAAGAGTTTTCTCGAAACGTAATTTAAATTCGTTTTGCGAATTTATTTTTTCAGGCAAGTTAAAAATAGTAGGACACGAAATCTCTCGGATGGAGAAAGGAACGTAAGTATGCACGAGTATGTTAGCATCGTTTGACGTTTTATATCCGCTATGACACAATCCAAAAAAAAAAAAAAAAAAAAAAACTCGAAAAGATATTCTTTTCGAGAATAATGTTGAAGCGACTATTCGTCATTCGCAGAGTTAAAGTTTTTCCAAGCTCGGATCGAATAGAATTAGCTTCGAACCTTTCGAAGAGTCGCTTGTTTTTTTATGCCATCGACGATCGACGCGTGACGATTGTCGCGTGTGTTGTGTTCTAATAACCTGGCAGGGCATGCGCTTCGATGTCTAGAAGCTAGCGCCACCGCGATTATTTTTTTCTTTTCTCTTCTTTCCTCCTCTTCACTCCCGATATAACGTCCGCTCTCTGGTGTAACGCCACGATAGTCTCTCTTTTTTTATCCACACTTTCGTTCTTAATCGTTCTTTAACTGAGATTTCTTTCCAGATGCACCCTTATTCCCGATCGTGAGGCCAAGGCTACACGTCTGCCCACGTTGCGGACAAATGTATTCCTGGGCGTCGAATCTGCGGAAACATCTGAAGATGGGCTGTGGGATGGTTACGTTTGAGACACACTTCTCCTGCCAGTATTGCCCTTACAGATCGAGGATCGAGGCATCGTTCCTCAAGCACCTGCTCTCGGTGCACAACATCAAGTAGACGGCTGATTCGCTGAACGTCGTTTTTTCGATCGTCCACGCACGACGACGGCGTTTCGTTCAGCGGTCATCAATTTTACGAGTCATCGCGATGGAATTGGTTCTTGAGCGAGGAACAGTAAAACGTCTCGTGTTTCACTCGTGTTTTTTTCATCGGTGTTTGTAATACGTACGTCGCCACTCGTGTTCCCCTTTTTTCGATTTGTGTCGTCGGAAACGATATGTGACAGATGTGTTTGAAAAATTATTTCGATATATTATTATAGTCGATATACGAAGAAATATTATCGTCGACGATTGGAATTATTAATTTTGAGCGTAAGAGTCGGAGAGGAGGGATATTTTAGTGGCGAAAAAACAAAAAAAAAAAAAAATTTATTAGTGTCGTCGATTTGCGTGAAAGATTGTCGTATTATTCGATAAGTCGAATCTAGTCCGATGGCTGTTTTTATTTTTCTTTTTCTTCTTTTTCTTCTTCTTCTTCTTCTTCTTTTTCCCTTTCCCCCTTGATCTTTTTTTTTCTCGTCATTAGATTTTGATCCACTATATCATAGTATTTAAGCCTATCTGGGATTCACTTTATACCAAGGTGCAATTCTAACGATACGTAGATTCGTCGAGTTATACCATTTTTGCTTTTTTTCCCCCAACTATTTAGTTTTTCGTACTTTAGCGTTACGATTTTTACCGAAGTATCGACGAAAATAAATACGATAGCGACGTAAGAGACTCGAGGCTTTCACGGCCTGGTATCGCAAAATTTTTGGCATCAAGAAATTTTTCGGTGTGAATCACGTTTCAAGAGGAAATACTGTTTCGTCAGTATTGCTAGTCTCATTTTTCAACGACGTTACACGTTTTTATAACATATTCGTTTACATCTTGTAAACGATATTGATTTAAAATTTTTCATTTTTGTAGATTCGAATAATTTTCCCCTAGGAAAATTTTTACGCTTAAATAAAAACTCACCAGACGCGCATAATCCCTAGCAATACCGATTAAATCGTATTTTTTCTTCAGAACACTCGGTTACACACCGAAACTCCGGTCGGGAAAAATTTCGCGATATCGAAGTAAATCCTAGCAACCGATTTCCTACCTGTTTGATATCAAAGCGATCGTAGTAAGGATAAGTATGCATTCGTTTTTTCCACTAGAGAAATCGTTCGTCACATTGCGAGATTTATCACATTTTATCGCGTTTTCGCGGTGGAGTAGAGATGTTGTAATAAATAATCACGACGTTGTACGATGATTATCAATCCTCCCTCGTTCGGCCGTGTTCTCGAACAAGAATTCACGATTAAGTTAAAAGAAAAGAAGAAGAAAAAAAAAAATCCAATGTTCCTGTTTCGTGTTTCCTTGTTCGAACCTTGACCGAACACGGCCACGGTGACTAAATGAAAAATTTTGTCTCTCGCATTATTGTTGGAGCAGAGAGGGATGAAAAGAAACGAGACACCTTAATTATTAGATTCTTTTGTCTATCCGTTTTTTTTTTTTTTTTTTTTTTTTTTTTTAATATAGATCTATACTTAAAATTCGGAAGAATAAGAAAGAAAAGGAAGGAAGGTGGTGGACGACGACGAGCGGAAGAGAGGAAGAAGGATATCATGTGAGTCGTAATCGGATGAATGAACGAGTTCAATCTCATATACCCTATTCACGCTAATCAAAGTAGTGAATGTCAGTCACCTTTCATCTCATTCTTTGTATAATCGTATCGAAAACGCGGAAGACGAATCGTACTTGTTATCGATATAGTTTAGAGAGAGGGAGAGGGAGAATGTATGTGTGAGAGAGAGTGAGAGGGAAAGTGAAAGAAAGTGAGAGAATGAGAGAGCGCGTGTGCTACGAGAGAAACGAATAATGTAAGAAACCCATTTTGTCTACGATGCATGAACATCTAGCCTGTCTTTATCCATTCGATTCGATAGATCGCGTAAATCTATTAGAGATCGAGCAAAAGAAATGCTGCGCAGTGATGGTTAAGTGTTCCTGTGTAACGATGTCCGGCAAAGTCGATTGCTTTTTAAAATAAATACCAATGTGTACAGAGATCTCGTGTAAGATCTTTTTTCGAAAAGATTCTTCGAAATATTCTCGATCCCGATTTCGTTTTTTCTTTCATGTATTTTTTACAATTTTTATTTCTTTTCTTTCTTTTTTTCTTTCTTTTTTTTCTGTCCCTTCCCTTTTCTGTGCTTTCGTCCACGTTGAAGAACGTTTCTTTCTTCTTCTTGAGAGGAAGTTCATGATCGTTCGAAGATTCGTAGATTCGTTGTCACGAAAATTGGAAAATGGAAACTTGAATGTAGAAATCTGAATGGAAGATGTTTGTTGCAGGGTGATTTGTACAACGTGACCACTTCGTTTATTTTTTTCGTTATTAATGGGATCTAGCGAAATCCTCCCCTCCATGACACAATTCTTATTTCTTTTAAGGGCGTTTGATTTCTTCTTGATTTTTTAATTTTCTAATTTCTTCTAATAAAAAAATTTATTGGCTCATAATTGAGGATGAT